TTATTTTAAAATTATATTATTTTAATAAATGTATATTTAAAATTTTAAAATATTTTATTTATAAAGTATGAATTAAGATATTTTTTATATTTTATCTTTCTAATTTTTTAAAAATAAAACAATAAATACCAACCCTTTATTTTATTATTGTTTAAAAAGTAACGAGGCTGCACCTACTTCTTTTTAAGGCCAGATAAATGTCTATTTATATATAGACTGATTTTTAATTATTAAATAATAAATATTAATTGTCCAAACCCTTGGTGACGATGACCTTTTGAATGGCTACAGTGAACATAATGACATAAGTTCAAATCCAAACCCTTCTCTCCTTCCCCTGTACATTCCCCTTGTTAAAAAAAAAAGAGTAAATAAATATTAATTATTTTATAGATTATTAACTAATAATTATAAATTTTAATTATAAAACTCAATATAATTATAATTTTTGTGTGAATTTAACCAATAGTTATGTGGTCATATCCATCTTCCATATTGACTTTCTTGGTATTTATTTTTATTTTTTAGGTGTAAGATTAAAATAAAAACATTTTTAGGCGTAAAAATTGAAAGAAGATAAAACCAAAAACGGAGAAAAAAATTCAAAAAATTGAAATAAAGGAAATGGATTAAAAATGGTTTCACAAGGTCAAGTAGGGAGAAAAATTTGATGAAATATGCAAATACCAAGCAAAGGCTTACTTAGATACAATATTTGAGTGATTCAAAACCAGAGTTTAGTTTACATAATTGTATACGGCCAACCTTCGCAAACGGTTTGCACATTATGCTACAAAACACAGCATTGACCACACAACATACTTTTTCATTTATCTGAAATTTGAACAGAGGCCACAATAGTACTAATACGTGTGCCAAAGAAAGAGAGACACAATAACAACTATGAGGTGGGGTCTTCTGCTCCTATTAATCTATCCATAAGTTGGATTTATATCAAATTAGATAGCAGTCTAGATGTGGGAATAACGACAGAATTTAATGGGCCAACTTCTTGAGGTGTTGGAATACTTTCTGCTTGATCCATTGTCTGTCGTAGGGCAAATAGGCTCGAAGAGAGTGATCATATCTACAATTAACAATAAAACATACATTAGTAACTCCCTCAAGTGTCAGAAGCTGCAATACGACTCTCAAAGATATGGTATTTGGGCCAAACAGGCAACACATGAAATAAGCAATCTAGATAGATACATGCAACCCTTACAAACACTGCAGGATATCTCAGTGGTACATACCTAAAGTCAACTCTATTTCATCTAAATGTCAGATTGTGACATTCTAGATTCTTTGAGCTAAGTAATAACTGAAGTTTACATATATAGACTGTCTTGCAGCCAGTCATTTCCTTCTACATATGTACAGGCGAGAACTAGGATACATCTCACCATAAAAGAAGCCTTCTGCCATTGAATCTTAGGGAAATAAATTAGGCAAAATTCATTTACAAGCATGGTAAACAGTGCACCAAAAACAAGTTATTCCTTATGGTCTATATTGTTAGGCAATAACTTCTATTCAGGCCACCAATATCTAAAAAGACACATATGGCAGAATCAGATATATATAAAGTATGAAACATAACACAAGGAATTTATTAAAGAAATGAGAAAACCCCAGAAAAGAAAGAGATATATACACAAGAGCACTCATGTCTACGAGACCGTCAATGAAATTATAGAGATCTGCAATGTCATATGTGATGTTCCCCAGGGCTGGATTTAATTCCTTCAGCTTCCTTTCATATAGTCCACAGATGCCTGTAAATAATCAAAAGCACTTAACAATATTCTTTCAAAAAGAAGGGAGGGGAAGACAAAGGATCTCATTTAGATCATGTTTTTGAAAACACTCAGATTAATCCAAACACGTAAATTATCCTCTTACCACCAAATGCCAACCAAAATATAGAATAATTTCAGACATAGATCTAAATCAGGTAAAAGTAAAACATATGTACGAGGGGAAGAAAGGGAAGATGAAACAAGGAATTAGAAATCATTCATTGTGTTGATTTAGTTTTGAACTTTAACTCTAGAGGCACACCTTTGCTCTTCCTTCCAACACAATAGTGTACCAAATCAAGTGCCTGTCATGACAATTAAATTTCAAAGCAAAATTTCCTAAGAAAAAAAGGATAAATAAGAAGCTCTAGTTTTGTGATTAAGCATCAGATTCGGAGCAAGTTGAAAGAACCAAAACCCCAGGTTTCAACTACCTATACTCATTACAATGAAACAAACACTGGTGTCAAGTTATGACTTTGAACCTAATCACCAGTAACAGCAACAATAGCACCTATGAAATATTACAAAAGGCAAAAACGCTTGCTATGCCCAAAAAATAGCTCAAATTTATGAATTATATTATCTAAGTTCACATGCCAATCAGCTTTCAAGACCAGTGCACTGACCCTAAAACAACAAGTTCTCATCAATAACTCTAACAAAGCAAGAACTTTGGACTCCTCAAGACTTCTCTAAATTGCAAGACTTCTCACCAACATCAACTAAAAACTGCAGAGAAATAACAAAAACTGAAATTAAAACACACACACACAAGAACATTAGCAAAAGCAGACATATCATACCATCCATTGATTGACTTATTGAATCATAATCCATAAATGTTCTAGTTGCTCTGCTCGGCGCAGTTTGCATCAAAACAATAGTATGCCTGTTGGCCTACACATCAACGATTCATTCAACAGAAAACATACAACAAATCAGCTCCGCCAAAAAAAAAAAAAAAAGGTGAATAATTCCGGAATACAATCCTAACTCATGAATTAACAAGCCTAAAACGATCTGATTTTCCTCAACAGCGAAAAATCTAAAGAACAGTTCAAAATCCCTAAAATTACAAAGAATTTTAAAAGCTTCAGTCGGGTAAACAAAACCCTAAATCTCTGCGATTAACACAAGATATAGAGATTTTCGAAGAGATTGCGAAACAGGAAATTAAAAAATTAAAAAATTAAAAAATAAAAAGGAAAAAAGAAAGATTACCATGGGAGGACTGCTATTTGCTTAGAGCTGAGAGCGAGAGAGAATCAGTTGACGAGAGAGAAACAAAATAATTATATTCCGAAAATTATTTAAATAGAAAATAAATAAATAAATAAATAAACGTGTATTGCCACGTCATTCAATGGTCAACGTCAACGGTCTGGTTGGAAACACCAAAACGAGTTTTTTTGTTGGGTTTTACCACTTTAGTTTCAATTTTTTGTCAAATTAGTCCCCAAACTATTTTTTGGTCAATTTCTATCACTGAAGTTTACACTGATAGGTATAT